TACCTTCCGATGTCCCGGGCAGAGCGGGCCCCGCGGCACCCTGGGCCCTGGAGGCATTTATGTATTCACACAGCGCTGAGCAATGAGAAGAGACAAAAAAGGATGAGGATGACAAATGGAGACAACCTGAAATAATGCGGAGGCGTCCGGGGGACACAGGCTTCAAATGTGGCCCCTGACATCACCAAAGGGACCCACATAATATTCAGTCTATGCTGCAGACACGGGACAGGAGACAGTCAGAGACTGCAGGCATAGTACAGGAGACGATCAGAGACTGCAGACACAGTACAGGAGACGATCAGAGACTGCAGACACGCTACAGGTGACGATCAGAGACTGCAGACATAGTACAGGAGATGATCAGAGACAGCAGACATAGTACAGGAGACGATCAGAGACTGCAGACACGATACAGGAGACGGTCAGAGACTGCAGACACAGTACAGGAGACGGTCAGAGACTGCAGACAGTACAGGAGACGATCAGAGACTGCAGACACAGTACAGGAGACGATCAGAGACTGCAGACAGTACAGGAGACGATCAGAGACTGCAGACAGTACAGGAGACGATCAGAGACTGCAGACAGTACAGGAGACGATCAGAGACTGCAGACAGTACAGGAGACGATCAGAGACTGCAGACAGTACAGGAGACGATCAGAGACTGCAGACAGTACAGGAGACGATCAGAGACTGCAGACAGTACAGGAGACGATCAGAGACTGCAGACAGTACAGGAGACGATCAGAGACTGCAGACAGTACAGGAGACGATCAGAGACTGCAGACAGTACAGGAGACGATCAGAGACTGCAGACAGTACAGGAGACGATCAGAGACTGCAGACAGTACAGGAGACGATCAGAGACTGCAGACAGTACAGGAGACGATCAGAGACTGCAGACAGTACAGGAGACGATCAGAGACTGCAGACACAGTACAGGAGACAGTCAGAGACTGCACACACATGACATGAGACTGCTAGAAATGTGTTGTTTTCTCAGTGATAAAACTGACACAGCGAAGTTTTCTTCCTGGATTGGACGGAGGAATAGAGGACATCAGCGGCACACAATCGCAGTCTCAGCCTGTGCAGAGCTGGGGGGGGGGGACACACAATGTTGCGGCAGACATGACACAAGACTGCGACTTCCAGAATCAATCTGCTCACAAAAGGAAACAATTCCACAACAACCAGATCACTTCTACACAGAGGAACCGCGTTATCAGTGACTGCTGAACCAGGAGAGTTCTTCTATCCACGAGCCCC